GCTGTCCAGGTGTCCTTGCTAGACAGCAGCCTGCTGCAAGCCACTTAGATGCCCCCAAACAGAGGACATGATGAGCAACTGTGGCAAGTCCAAGGGAGTATCGGGTAGTTGTTTAAAGTAGTTTATGGCCAGACTGCAGCCACGCCTGTCACCTCAGGACCCAGGAGGCAGAGGCAGGAAGATCACAAGTCTGAGGCCAGCCTCAGCAAGTTAGCAAGATCCCGCCTCAAAATAAATAAACAGCAGCTCAGTGGTCGGCCACCCTGGGTTCCGTCCCCGGGCCTGGGAGGGAATGGGTACTTACAAAGAAGTCCTAATGATGAGAAAGTGATTGAGAGAAAACAGACACACAAAAGTGTGCCCATGGTTGATAGACGTGGGTCAGAGACGGTGGACCAACGTTTGTCTCTACACTTGCGTGTGCTTTGACATGGCACAAGTGGCCTGGACAGTAGGGGAGGCGGATATGGCCGCTGTTAGGTTCCAAGAGAGTCAGACTGGCCTAGTAGGGGGCCTGCCCACCCAGGCCACCCAGTCCCTTCCTGGGGAATGCTGGGTGGCCCTGCAGGGTTCTGGCCACTGCCCTCGCCGTCCACGTGAGTCACAGCTCACAGGCATGGACATAACCTACCATGTCCCCACAGTGACCGAGCGTGCGAACCAGGCCAAGGAGACCCTGTGTGAGGTCAGCATGGACAAGTATGATGGGTGAGTGAGTGCTGGGCAGCAGTCCTGACCCTGAAGTGAGCTGCTCACAGAACGTCAGGGTGGGCAGGGGACTGGCCCAGGCACCCCTCAGAGACCACCCTGGCCTGGTGGCTCTGTTGCCTTTCCGTCTCCCAGAACACTTCTCACGTGCTCACATAGGAGAGCAGTGACCTGGCCCAGGGCAATGTCACGTGGAGTTGAGGTGGGGTTGTTCTGGCTTGGGATCCTGTCACTGTTAGCTGTGAACAGTTTTCCATGTCCCCAAAATATTATGGTAATGCCCATATCATCTTCTGTGACATAGATGTGCCGTAACTTAACTAGTCTCTCACTATTTGGGCTCTTTCCAACTTTTGCTCTTTAAGTAAGAGACCATTACTGAATACAAACCTCTCTGCATAATCTGGTTTGGGGGTTTTTTCAAGATAAATTCCTAGAAGTGGATAGTTTCCTTGGGGTTGGGGGTGGAACCCAGGGCCTTTTGCACCAGGTCATAAGCTGTACCTCTGGGCTACTTACCCAGCCTGAATTTAGGGTCTCGGGGGGAGCTGGCAGGGGCTGGTCCCGTAGCCACTCTCGGCCAGGAACCTCTGAAGTCCCAGGCCCAGAGGGAAAGCCAGCCTGGGCCACAGTCCCACTGGACGGGCAGGGACATTTGGAGGGCCCCACCTGCGAGCTGCCGTGGTGGTGCTGGGAGCGCTGACCACCTCTCCTCTGCAGCATCGTCTGTGTGGGTGGCGACGGCATGTTCAGCGAGGTCCTGCACGGTCTGATCGAGAGGACGCAGAGGAGCGCCGGTGTGGACCAGAACCAGTTCTGCGCCAAGCTGGTGCCCAGCCCCCTCAGGATCGGCATCATCCCCGCAGGTACGGAGCCCGGGCGGCGCCCTGACGGCCCGCCATCTGACCGTGCCCGGCTGGCTCACACCTGTGTCCTGCCTCAGGCGCTTCCAGGGGAGAATCCTCTGGGCTTCTCCTCTAGGTTCATCACTCAAACTGTGATTCTCTCCCCATACGATGCTGCAGTCCCTCTGGGCCTTGTTTGTTTGTCTGGCTTTTTTGGGGGGTGGAACCCAGGGCCTCCCATATGCCAGGCCAGGACTCCACCACTGAGCCGCCTCTCTGGCCCCCAGTGGCCTTCTTTTTGAAAGATAGTGTGTGTCCATAAAATGAACACTCGGGCCGGTCCGTAAGGGACCTTGTCCGCTCCCGAATGCCAGCCGCGTGCAGGACCCAGGAGCCAGCAGCAGGGGGCAGGCTCTGCTCCTCGAGAGCCCTGGAGTGGGGGCGCCTGGTGCCCGGGGCAGGCGAGGCTGTAGAGGGGGTCTTGAGCAAGAGGTGGCTTCTAGCTGACCTGAAGGTTGTTGGGGGGGGTGGGCAGGAGGAAGGTTGTGGGTGGGGAGGGAAAGGGCCAGCCAAGCGGCAGGGCCTCCTCACGGCCTGGCGGACGGGCTCTGCTCCCGAGGCGTCCATCTGGCTTGGTGTATTCACCATCTTTCTAGGGAGCAGCTTGTTCCTAGAAACATCACAGCTGGACAGTGACCAGCTGGCCCGTGACAGGGCCGCAGGCACAACTTCCTTCCTCCTGTGCCTCTGTCGGCACAGCCACCGCCCACGCCATGGGTAGCTTCACCCTGACGGCTCCTGAAGTCAGTCGGTGGACACAGGCAGGAGGCTCTGGGGGGCCGCCCGCTCACCAGGTGGGCTCGGGTTGGGAGCGGAGAGCCCTCAGTTGGCATCTGGCCCCAGGAGGGACGCCTTGGTTACTGTGCCAGCCTCTGGCCCCTGAACCCTCTCCGGCAGAGATGTGACCCTTCCACTTAACCTATGACTCCCCATTCTGGGCCGAGAACGTCCCGGTGGGCAGTGGCCTGTGCCTGTTCTCAGGACAAAGCCTCCCTCTGGGCCGCATTCGCAGCTCAGCCTGCAAGTCCAAGGTGGCGATCAGCAGAGATGCTGGGGTTGTCATCTGAGATCCCGCCCATTTGGATGGAGTGGTGACTGACACCTGAGGCGTGATGCACTTCCTGAGCCGCTCGCCAGACGGTTCTGTCTGAGGGGAGCAGCGCAGCAGCGAGACCCCGGCCGACCTGGTTCTCCCGCTGAGGACAATGAGAGAAAGCCTCAGGCCCCCATTCCCTATCGGGTCCCTGCAACTGACCTGGCCATCAGCAGACTGTCCTGAGGGAGGGCTGCAGGGCCCCTGATGGACTTCCTGTCCCCAGGTCTTGTGGACTTCTCTGTGCATTCAAGGCCTTAGGAGCAGGTGGGAGGGGCAGCCAGGGGCTGCTGGCCAGGCGAGGGGCAGTCAGGAGGCCCATGTGGTGTCTGTCTGCCGCACAGTGGGGGGCTCGGCCTTCACCTGGGTGTCCCTGCAGGTGCTGCCCAGCACAGGAGGCCCTCGTGGAAGGGTGTCCCAGCTCACTGGGCCTGTTTGTGAGGGGTCAGTCCCTGTGCTCGAAGCTGCTCTTACTCACCCCAGAGTCTACCCTGGGAGGCCAGAGGTGGCCACTCGTCTTGCTGTCTGGGGCTGTTCAAGGGCAGTTCTAATCCTGAGTGACCCGGACTCTCACCATAAGGCCAGAGGCCCCTGAGGAGAGCCCGTCCTTCTCTGCCAGGCTGCTGCACTCACTAGGGCCCGGGTGCTGTGACAGGTGGCCCACGAGGCTCCAGGCTACGTGGTGGACATCACCTGAGGCCTGTCTCCCCAGAGGCCCCTGTCTCCCCAGGCTGGGAGTAGCCGTGCGGTCCCTTGGGGGCTCGGTGGCGGCTGTCTGGTCTGCCACCCTTGTCTGCACTTCTCTCCTTTCCCAAGGCTGCCCCCTGCCCCTGTGCTTTCCCTTCCTGGGCCATCCCCTCCCTGCGGCCCTCGGGGCAGGTTAGCAGCTCTGCCGCCACGTGGCCTTAGGGCTGCAGCTGGGGCAGGAGCTCGCCCCTCCTGTGTTCTGGGCCTCTCCACCCTGGCTGAGGCTGGGCCCTGCTGGGCCTGGAGAGGAAGCAGCTGGAGAGCTGCAGGTGTGGCCAGGAGGGGGCCTGGAGGTGGCCCAAGGGACTTGCCAGTGACTGAGGGAGCCCCGGGGTGACCCGTAACTGGGGGTGGGGTGGAGGGGTCTGGTGGGTCCCTGCAGCCCTGGCTGCAGGAAGGCGAGGCTCCCCGTGCATTGAGACCTGATCTAACCTGTGTGGAACCCACTCCTGGACTGGGTGTGGATCAGGACGGAGCACTTGCCTGGCCAAGGGAGCCCTGGGGAAAAAAGAAAGAGAAAGACCCTTTAACTGTAGATCTGTTAGATCCCTCCACCACAGTTAACGGGGCTGTGTTGCAGCCCGTGAGGCTGCCGTCCAGGGGACACATCAAGCCTTCCCCCCTGCTGTACCTACTGTGTGTGCCATTGTGACTAAGGCTCAGGGAGAGGCTCAGGAGGTGCCTCCCAGCCTGTCTGTCCTTCCTGTGCGGGTGGGCAGGTGCAGGGCCCGAGGCCAGATGTGTGAGGATGGCTGCAGCTGTTCCAAGGGCAGGCAGGTAGCGTGAGCATCAATCATCCTCCTGAACTTGACCCTTAGGGTGCAGGGTGCAGGGTGCAGGGGCTAGTGGCCTTGGCCCCCCGTCTGAGCCAGTGAAACAGCAGTGGAGCAGCTAAGGAGCCACATCTGGCCTCTTTCCACGGAGGACGGTCAGGCCAAACAGGGTGCAAACTACCTGTCCTCAGGTTAAAATTAGCAGCGATGGCTTTGTGTGACTTCTCCGGAACCTGCTGGTTCAAAAGTATGTCAGAATTTCTAGGTTGTAGCCAGGCGTGGTGTTGCGAGCCTTTAATTCCAATGACTCTGGAGACTGAGGCAGGAGGATTGCAAGTTTGAGGCCAGCCTGGGCGATTTAGTGAGGCCCTGTCCTGTAAAGGGGAGGCTGGGGTGCAGCTCGTGGTCAGGCGCCCCTGGGTCACATCCCAGGACCAAAGAAACAAGCTTCTGGGTCGGGGTGTTTCTCTGTGGTGAGGTGCTGACCCTGTCCCGGCCATACGGCAGCTTCCACGCCCAGCACGCTGCTGCGTGGCCTCCTCTAGCAGCACATCACGGGAGGGAGAGACAAGGCCCTTCTGTTAGGAGAGTCTGCCATGGCCAGGTTGGAAGTACTAGCTTCCCCCCAGAACAAGGCCCTCCATGAAGTTCCCCTTTCGTTTGGTGACACAGAGCAGCTGTGTCACCAGGAAATAGAGGGAGGCTTCAGAGGCCTCGGGTCTTGCTCTTCTTTCCGACTGAGAAGGTTGCTGGATTTCTGCCACTGGAAGGCTGTTGGGTACAGAAGCTGCCGCTGACGAAACCCTGGGCGGCTGCGGCTCCCAGGGGTGACCGGTGAGGAGAGCGGCCATGCACCTGGCAGCCTGGCCAGGGCTCGCCGGGGTGTGCAAGGCCCCAGGTGCCACGCCCCGCCTGGCCTGGCTGAGTCTGCCCACCCACCGCCCCTCTGGAGTGTCTCTCAGGGACGTTGACACTTGTTACTCAGGCACCTTACACTACGAAAATGAGGGGAGAGGGCCTGACAGCACCTCGTTTTCCTTAGAGACGTTAATTACACTTGGAGAATCGGCCCCTCCTGTGATCATAAGTGCTCGTTAAGCACATTTTTATTTTTGAAGTAAGATGATACTCAAGTCCTTGAGAGACTCCAAAGAGAGGTACACAGCCTTGAATCATGAGTGTGTGTGAGTGTGGGTCTCTGTGTGCCTGTGTGCACCTGCGTGACATCAACCGTCCGAGGCCTCAGGTGACCTGAGGTCGCACTGAGGGCCCCGTGTTGCCATCTCCATGCCAACCAGGTCCCATGGTCTCTGTGGACCTGTGCACTCTCCAAAGAGATCAGGGTCACTATGACAAGACCTGAGCACTGTCCTGGGCCCGCCCGGGCTGAGCATCCAGGGTCTTTGGCTCTGGTGGAGTTCTGTGCCTGTCACACTGGTGGCCTCCTAAGGAATGCTTGTGTGCCAGTGGCAAAGCTCCGTGGGCCTAGACATGGCCATGCAGCTTGTCCCAGGGAGACCTAGACTAGGGCGTCCCAGGCGCAGGGCACACCTGTTACATGTTCACGTGGCCCAACCCCACGTTGCAGAGGCTGTGCCCCAGCTAGAGGGAGCCCGGGCCTCGCTGCTGTGACATGGGGCCCCTAGCTGTCAGGGCTGCTTTCCACAGTGGTGACTCCTGAGCAGATTCCCGCGCCCCGCACTCAGAGCCACACTGTGGTCACCCCCAGACAGAGGAGGGCGTGACCCCTGGCCACAGGCAGGAGTGTGCATGCTCAGGGCCCAGAGCTGTGCAGCCAGGCCCGGTGGTGGGCCCACTGTTTCCCTGAAATTCGGCCCCGCTACTGAGATATGCCTTGGGGTGGACACTGCCTTCGCAGTGTTCCTGTGACCTTCACGGTTGGCCCTGCTTTCCACCCTCTCTCCCGCGGACGATGCTCCGTGCAGTCTCCTGCTGCCATTGAGGTCTGGGCCACAAGGTGCCCCTGCCGGCCACGCAGAGGTGGGCGAGCACCAACACCTCACAGTCTCGCAGAGGAGGGCCTCGCTGCTCCCTGGGGCCTCCATGAGGCTTGGGCAGCCGCTGGGGCTGCAGGGACTGCAGGGGCAGGCATGGCCACTGTGAAGAGCTGCTGGGTGCCACTGCCAGGTCCCCTCGCTCTTCCCGCCTCCTCTTCTGCTGGCCACGGAGGAGCGGCAGGGCCTCCACTGGGTGCCCGCATCCCACCGTGCCCCTCCCTCTCAGGGTCGACCGACTGCGTGTGCTACTCCACCGTGGGCACCAACGACGCCGAGACGTCCGCCCTGCACATCGTGGTCGGTGAGCTGCCTCCCCGCCACCCCCAGGGCACAGGCCACCAGCGCTGCCATTTCTCAGTGGCCCTGCTTCCTTGTGCCCCGTGGCCTTGCCCACGACCGCAGGAGTCCAGCCTGGCATCCCTTCCCCCCAGCCACACTGCCTCGCCCGCCCCCCTGGGTCTGTATCCCAGGCCCGTCTGGGGCCTTTTGAAAACATGAACCCATCGTGCCAGACCCTTCTCAGCACCCAGGGACGCAGGCCTGGTGACGGACCAGGCGCCACCCCACAGCGCCCCTGCTCCGGTGCTTGTCCCTGCTGGGTCCTGGAGCTCCTGCCACGCTCTGCCTCGGGCTGCCACTGCCTCTGGCCTCCACTCAGCTCCACACCCACAGCCTTAGCAGCACCCCACGGCCGCCAGCCCCCTGTGCCTCACCTGTGGCTCCATCCAGCCGCCACAGCCCACTGCTTTCATGCATGCTCTTAGGACGCCCCTGGGTGCCCATTCTGCCTGGGGCACGAGGTGGCCTGGCCTTCCTGGTGCTGTGGTCAGGGGTGGCTGTGGGTGTGGCCCCTCCCATCTCTCTGCAAAGTACCTGCCAGGCTGCAGGTGACTCACTCCTTCAGGTGTCAGGTGCCCAGCACCTGTCCAGCCCCTGGCAGGGAGAAGAGGGCCGTGGAACCTCTGTGAGCTCCCGGTCACAGCATCTGTCTGACCCAGACCCAAGAGACCTCGTGTTTTAAAATAGCCACTTAGGACTTTGTATTTTTTGCTATCTGCCTTCCCTTCAGTCTCAAACCCTCCCCTTTCAGTTAGTGACATTGGTGAGCTTCATGGGTACAGGCTTATCCTGTCCCCAAGAACAGCTTCCCAGGAAATTTGAGACACGTGTCATTTGAATCAAAAACAGGGAATCAAAGGGGGACCCTGTGCTGGTCACATTCTTTCTCCTCTGAGATCAGGGTGCTTTGGGAACTGCCCTGACCACACCTGTGCTCTCCTGCAGGGGACTCGCTGTCCATGGACGTGTCCTCAGTGCACCACAACAACGTGCTGCTGCGGTACTCAGTGTCCCTGCTGGGCTATGGCTTCTATGGGGACTTGATTGAGGACAGTGAGAAGAAGCGGTGGATGGGACCTGCCAGATACGACTTTTCAGGTAACTCAGAAGAGCCTGCTGAGCCGAGAGCCGACTGAGTCTAAGGGGTCTGATTTAATCACCAGCCCCCGAGCGAGGCCGCCCGTGCAGACGGAGCTCACCGCCTCGGCCTCCTGTAGCTGGAAGTGTGAGGCCTGGACTTGGCCCAGGATTGTGTGATCCTGTTCCTGGACCCAGCACAGGTGTCTGCACCGGGTGACCAGCCTGTGGGGATGGCTCCAGTGAAAGTCCTAGGAGGAAGGAATCCATTCCTGTCACTGGAGCCAGCGGCAAGAACCGCACCGTGGGGGGTCGCCCCTCCCCGCACGTGCGCACGTGCGGGCGGCAGCCTGCCCTTCAGATCCCCAACAGATGCACTCTGCTGTCCAAGTTCTGGGGTAGGGCCCATCACTCAGCACTCACTTGCACCTGCCCGGCCAGGCGGGCTCTCCTGCCCAGGATGCGCCCCTGAGCAGGACAGGTGAGAACCCTCCTCCGTGGGACTGCTCCTGCTCCCCAGGCCGGGCGCCCCGGCTCCCCCTGTGCAGGCCTGGCGCTCAGGGGCTTCACTGCCATTTCACAGCTGAGAAAACGGGCACCACAGGGCTGCGTGACCACCCTCCTGCAGGTCTCGGCTCTCAGATTGGGTGGCCATCAGTGTCCCCTGGCAGCTCGTTAGAACCCAGAGCTTGGGGCCACCCTGAGACCCCCATGCAGGTGTGGGAACAGCAAGTCCACCAGTCTCCCTGGGGACCCTGTCACCTGCTCACACAGCTGGAATGAACAGGAAACAGAAGTTGGTGCTGCCGGCTTCTGGAGGTGGGTGCAGCTTTCAAATGCAGAAAAGGGGGACTTTGAAAAGATGTGGAATTTAAGGCTGGACTCCTCCAGCATCCGGCTGAGTTCCTTTGCTGTATGTAGTGACTGTCACTTATCTGGTCCCCACTGCATTCAGGTGGATGGGATGTCCCAGAGCCCAGGGCCTGGCCCTTCCTCCTGGGGGAAGGAGAGTGACTTGGTGGTTTTGCGCAGCCTAGAGACTGTAGCGTGGCGTGAAGGGCTAAAGCTGCTCCTCGCCCACCTCCGTTAAGGAAAGGAGTCCTGAGAAATCAGAAAAGCCGCGAGAATCTCCATGAAGGGCCAACCTGTTCCTGGCTGCCCTTGTGGAGCAAGTGGCTGGCTCAGCAGGCCGCCCCTCCCCCAGCCCCTCAGCACAGTCCCTGCCCTCGTCTCACGTCCCACCCCTGTGGCCCGGCTTTAGCCCTGAGAGTCTGGAGCCAGTGGGTTTGCGTTCAGCTGCTGTGAGGTTGAAGTCCTGTCGTCTGGCAGAGCCTGGGGGAGGTGGAGCTGAGTGGGCAGGTGCCATCCTACACCTGGAGGTTTAGCGGGGGCAGAAGTGGGGACACCCAGGCTCAATGAGGCTGCCACAGAGGTGGCTGGTGCCGTGAGGCGGCTGTCCCCAAAGCACCCTGCAGGAGTCTGGCTGCACCCTGTGCCTTAGAGAAGGACACACATGCCAGGCTGCTCATGGGTCGGCCTCCTTCAGGCCTTGGACACTGGACATCTCATGGGGCCTACAGGGGAGTGGGGAGAGAAGCCAGGGCCACCATGCAGAATGGCACAAGCCCCTGCAGGGCCACCTGGGAAGCTGTTTCTCACGGAGCAGATGATCCTGGGCATTTCCCCGAGCCCAGCCCCGCCAGGTGCGAGCCAAACGGGACGAGCACTAAAGGGTGGGTGGCAAGCCGTGGAGCTGCCCAGGCTGGCCCAGGGCTGTGGATGGAACCCTGCCCCAGGGGCCAGGTGCTGGGGTCTGTGGGTGAGGGCTTGTGGAGGTGGCCTGGGCACTGTGTGGAAGTTGGAGGTCAGTGTGTTGGGGATCAGGAGAGGTGGAGCCCCCAGTGGCTCCTGAGGCCAGCATCACACCACAGCAGGTGTGGGCTGCACACTGTGGCCATGCAGGCCTGTACTGGGCTCAGCAGCAGAAAAGGAGGTGTGATGTCATCCTTGCAGGATACACCTGTCCCCCGTGCCCGGCTCCCCCCAGGCCCCTCGCACCCACTGCCTCTCCCTCCTGGCCTGCTCCGGCTTCCCGGGCCCCCTCCAGGGGCTTTGCCCAGCGCTGGAAAGCCAGGACTACAGGCAGCACCGTGGACAGCACCCACAGGACAGCTGCCCTGGCCCTTGCCCTGAGTCTTCCAGGCTGTCACACGTATGGTGGGTGCCTCTGGCAGGGGCCAAACCTGGAGGGGGCCAAACCTGGAGGTCCCCACTGCTGACCACTCTGAAGTGGGGAGACAAGGACCCAGGCCACTGGGACCTGCAGGCCACATCATGGAGGCCCTGCAGGGCAGGGACACGAAGACCCTGCCTCACCAGCATGGAAGGGCCACAGCCCTGACCTCTGTTGTGCCTGCCCAGATGTGCAGGGCCAAGCCCCTGCGGTTCCCTCCGGTGGCCTCCGGGGGCTCCCTTTCCTCCCTGGCTGTCCACAGCGGTGTCGCAGTCGCAGCCAGGCAATGACCTGCAACGTTCTCTCTTGGCCATACTCTGTCCCCAGGTTTGAAGACCTTTCTCTCACATCACTGCTACGAAGGGACAGTGTCTTTCCTCCCAGCCCAGCACACCACGGGATCCCCACGGGACCCGAAACCCTGCCGGTCAGGGTAAGCACACCTCCACGTCTTTCTGTTGCACCTGAGGTGAAACAGGGCCTGGGCTGGGGCTTGTTCCGTAGGAGCTGGACGCATAGGAAGAAGCAAGGTTGCCGCGGGTGCAAGCAGGGTGTGGAGGCCTGAGGCTCCGGGGGCCAGCTCCTGTCTAAACTGGCCTTGTGCACCAAGGGCACCTGGCCAGGGAGGATGCCAGGAGAGGGTCCCTGCTTGCTGGGCCCCAGGGCGGTGCGACAGCAAGGCTCATGGCCACACTGTCTGGTCCTGGTGGAGTTCCCTGGCCCCTCCAGGGGCTGGGGATGAGCAGAGCAGGCGGGAAGGGACATGGGCAGCTGTCTCATCCAGAGCTGGGCGTGTGCGCTCCGGCACAGGGAGGGACTGCTGGCAAGGCTGGTCTGATGGAACCTGTCTCAGCAGCCCTTGTCCCCACCCCTGGCAAGACCCTGTTCCACTCTGCCCGGCTCCACTATGGGAGCTCTCCCCTGATCAGGAGCCCTGGCCAGTCCCCCGGCCCCTCAGAAGGCAGGGAGCAGCCAGATCAAGAGCCCAGGTGCCCACCAAGGGGCAGACCAGGCAGCTCTGGGGGAGAAGAGGCCCAAGAGGGGGAAGGCCAGGAGCTCTGGCCTCCCTGTGGGCACAGAACCCCAGGAAACCTCAACTGAGCAGCCCCGGCGGCGTGGCCACCCCAGTGACAGCACAGCATGTGTCTGCCTGGCCACCTGTGCTGCCGGAGGCTAGGAGATGGTGACGCTCTGGAGGACACACAGTCCTTGAATGACCACCCCACGTCCTCACCTGTGAGCAAGGAGTTCGAGGCCATCGAGTCAGAGGGTCTAGCTGCTGCCTTGCCAATGCCACCAGTGTCCACAGCCTCTGGCTGCTGTGTAGCCCAGCAGCACCCAGTGTGCACCTGGGTGGTGACCGCATCTGGGTGGAGGGCTCAGAGCTGCCTGTCTGCTGCTCTTGGCTGGGATGAGTGCCCCTCAGGGATTGGCCTGAGTGCCCAGCTCCAGGCGGGTTCTCCGTGGGACCCCACCGCTGTGGGCGCTGGCGCTGCTGGAGCCGCCCAGCAAGGTTGCCGCGGGCGCCGGACCCCGCGCCCTGTGGGTTGTGAGTGCGCCTTGGCGCAGGACGCTGGTGAACTTCAGAGGCCCAACTTCAGAAGCAGTCTAACTTGGAGAATTCAAGGTGGCACGCTAAAGAAATGTGTTCAGTCGGCCTTGAACTGAACCGTGCGTTCCGGGAAGAGAACTGCGCCTGACCGTGGGCACCAGGCTCTGCCCTCGGAGAGCTCCTCTGCCCTTGGGAGAGGGTGACCGGTGACGGCTCTGTCTTTCAGATGCCTGGTGTGCAGGCAGAGCAGGCAGCAGCTGGAGCAGGAGCAAGCCCTGCGCGGCCCGCCAGACTCCGGTCAGTCCCCCACCCCGTCGCCGCCGGGTGCCCGCCCCCTCCTCTGCCCAGCTCTTCTTTCCTGCTCCCCGTGCCTCTGTGTCTCTGGCTTTCCTGCAGTGGGCCTGAGGCCTGGGGGACCTCCTCTGAGGACGTCCTCTGTCTCAGCCGCGCAGCTTCCCTCAGCCAAGCTGCCTCAGCCAAATGCAGATACTGCGCTTGCTGCCGCCATGAAGCCTTGCTCACGGACATGTCATTATCCCTATTTTCTTTGTTAAAGAACAGTGCCCGCCTTCTTTGTCATGCTGGACAAAGCAGGACGGAGCCGGCGAGCACTTTCTCCTTGGCGGCTGTGGCTGAGCCCGGCCCCTGCACTGCGCACGCGCCCACCCCCAGCCACCTCTCAGCTCCCCTTCTTTTCTTCGCTGCTGAGGACGCCCTGGCCTTTCCAGGTTGGGCTTCACTGCCCGCATTCCATCGCCCATGCTGTCCTGTCATGAAATGTCCCCAGGAGTCCCTCGAGGACAGAGCCTGGGCCATGTCACTGCCTTGGGCACATCTCCACTTCTCCTCTTTTCTGGTCCATGGCACATGCAGGCACTAGATGGCAGCAGCGACGTCCCACAGTGGCCGTCTCTGCCACCTGGACTCCCCGCTCTCTGGGCTGCCCTGCACCTGGGGTGGTCACTCTCTTTCATCACCTGCTTCTTAAGGTGCTGTGCTTCCTGCAGAGACGTTTAGCAGAGACTCGGAGCTGATGGAGGAGGGGACACTGCCAGCACAGCACTGTGCCTGGCCTGGCAGGAGCCTCTGTCCTTGACCAGGCTGTTGTCTCATTGAGTCCCAGACAGAGGGGGGCGGACAGTTAACCTGTAGCTGAGCTCTTGGTCTCTATTCCATACCCCAACATGTGTTAGGGCTGGGCGGGTGGCTTGGTGGGAGCGGGCTGCTTTAGCACGGCAGGTCCTGCGTCCATCCCGGAAGGCCGCGGCTACACGTGCGCTGGGCCGAACCAGCGCCAAGGACTCACCTCCGCCGCCCAGCTCTCCCATCAGGACCCCTGCTGTTATCTTTTGCCACTCCTAGCTCCAGGCCAAAGGCACATGGCCGGCTGGACTAGGTCCAGGTGGTGGTTCACTGACCCATGCTCTAGATCACCACCTACAAGTTGCTGGGGACCCTTGGGTTCAGTGTCAGTGCAGCTTCCTGGGGCAGGTGGCCCTTTGTAGGCGACATTACTGGTTTGGATGGCAGTCGCATGAGAAATGTGCTGAACGTCACCAGGGTGAAAGCTCAGGGCGCCCAAGGCACAGGCTGTAGCTGCGGCCCTGAGCCCCACTGCACGGCGACATCGGCCCTGTTCTTTCTGCTTCAGAGAAGGTGGAGGAGTGGCATGTCATCTGCGGGAAGTTTCTGGCCATTAATGCCACGAACATGTCCTGTGCTTGTCCCCGGAGCCCTAGAGGCCTGTCCCCAGCCGCCCACCTGGGAGATGGGACTTTCGACCTCATCCTCATCCGGAAGTGCTCCAGGTTCAACTTCCTGAGATTCCTCCTCAGGCACACCAACCAGTACGACCAGGTCAGTGGACAGGTGGACGCGGCAGCGGGGACGAGGAGCTTCCCGAGGGTGGTCCTGGTCCCACACTGCAGGAGTACGTTGGGTAGTTCCAAGGAAGGCAGCAAGGACACATCTTCTGGTTTGCTTTTCTCCAGTTTTAAACTGGTCAGTTGCTCCTTATGAAGTCCATTTTGAAATGTCACTCTTGTCACAGAATCCAGGGCTGCGGATTTCCCAACTTCTCCCTGTGCTGCTCTTCCGTGTCCTCCTTGCAGGCCCCTCCAAGTCCATCTCCAGGAGTGGGCTGTGTTCAGACCCTGCCCGCGCCCCCCCGGCACTGACAATCTGTGGAGGGGAGGCCTGGGTCAGTCAGGGGAGGCCTGGGTCAGTCAGGGGAGGCCTGGGATTTTTTGTCACAGCCTCTTAATTTTAGTGAGATTTTGGCTTTTTGCTTAAATTGTGTTTTAGATGTAGTCCAGTGGTATTTTTATACAGCTTTTGAGTAGCCCTTATTAAAGAGAGGACAGAAGAATCTACCAAGCACTGCTAGTTAACCACCAGAGCTCTTTAATAAGGGGTGGTCCCTGCGGGTGGGCTAAGACTTCCAAAGTCTTGGTGTTGCTTGACCAGTGCCCGGGGAGGGCAGTTCTGGGTGGCTGTCTCTGAGTGGTCACACCAGCTGGAGAGGGGGGCTGAGTGGCTGCCTGACAGCTGGACCGCGAGCTCGTAGGAATGGAGGCCCGTGGGCCCGAGGGCGCAGAGCAGGCGTCCCCCACGGTGAGTGAGGACCCTGCTTCCCTCCCCCGCCCCGGTAGTTTGACTTCAGTTTTGTTGAAGTCTATCGCGTGAAGAAATTCCAGTTCACCTCCAAGTCCCTGGATGAAGAGGACCACACCCTCAAGGACAGGGGAAAGCAGGGCTTGGGGCAGATGTGCTGTGACAACCCCGCCTCCTGCTGCTCGGCCCCCCGGAGCTCCTGGAACTGCGACGGGGAGATTCTGCACGGCTCTGCCATCGAGGTCAGGTGAGCGGAGGCCCAGCCCCGGGCGTGCCCAGGCTGTGGGTGCAGGGAGAGCTCCGGTTGTGGCAGTCCTCCTTGGGTGGTCAGGTGCAGAGCCCAGGCTGTGGGTGCAGGGAGAGCTCCGGTTGTGGCAGTCCTCCTTGGGTGGTCAGGTGCAGAGCCCAGGCTGTGGGTGCAGGGAGAGCTCCAGTTGTGGCAGTCCTCCTTGGGTGGTCAGGTGCCGAGCGCAGGAGAGGCGGGGGGAGCACTGGCAGAGCCTTCTCCAGGGCTCCGAAGCCCTCTCTTCTCTTCCTCTTCTCTGCGACACCTGACGCCCCGCAGGCGTGGTCTCTCCTGGGCATTCTTTCTTTTCTGATAAATCATTCAAAGACAAATGAGCTGCCTTCACAGGCACTTCTCAAGTCCTGGGCCCCTGCATCCATGGGCAGACATCCGGCCTTGCAGGGCCTGCTGAGGGGCCTCATGCTGGTGCACAAGGGGCGGCTGCCCTGGCAGGAGGCAGAGGGGCCTGGGAGGAGCACAAGGCGGGCAGAGAAAGTGGGGGGCACAGAGGGGAAGCTCAGGGTGTGGAGGCAGCAGCCTCAGGGCTCCCCAGAGACCCTTGGCCCACTGGCACCAAGAGCGTTCACCATTCACATCTAAATAAGGCAAGTGGATAGGACGTCTTTAGATGTCCCCAAGCCCTGGGCCCAGGCTCCATTTCCTTCTGGTGCACGTGGCAGTTGGTGGTCAGCCAGCTCCTGCCTGAGCACAAGGGCGGACGAGGTCCCAGGAAATCACCACAGCAGCCGCTGTGCACCGAGGGACTGCTTTCTGCCAGCTTGCCTGACACGTCAGGGAGGGGGAACTACTGGATACACTGGCTTATATATTCACTCAAGAAATAGAAAGCTTGGGCTGGGGCTGAGCTCAGGGGCAGAGCATTGCCAAGCACCTGTGAGGCCCTGGGTTCAATCCTTAGCACACATAAAAATAGATAAAGGTAAAAAAATTATAATAATCTCAAATTAGGAAGGTCTTCTTGACATATAGCCCATCTACCCTGCACCTTGGCACATGCCACTTACTCCTGGGGTCTTAGTTGCTAGAATACATCTGTGCTTTTGGTAACAGTGGGGAATGAAGCCAACAGGGCTGTCCTGCATGGGGCCCAGGACCTCCACGCTGCTGGTCAGGGGACCTCTAGGACCCCTGATCTGCTCCCCTCTGGGGGGCTCTTGCTGGGGAGAGGCTGCGCCGGAAGGGGAAACCGCGGCACATGGAACAGAGGCACTTGGGATTGTCCGCCTACTGTGGAGGCGTGTGGGAATTAGACCAGGTCTGCTGGTGCCCTGGATCTTCCAAGTGGCCAAGAGCATCTCTACAGAGAGGCTCTGGAGTGCAGGACAGCCTGTGCCTGTGCCCTGGCAGTCCGCACCTGCCCCGTCCAGGTAGGGGACACACAGGAGTCACAGTGTGGCCCTTTGTCTCCACAGGGTCCACTGCCAGCTCATTCAGCTCTTTGCAAGAGGAATTGAAGAGACGCCTCAGCAGGAGCCCTGCAGCTGAGGGCCGGCCCGCCCCATGCACAGAGGTGTGAAGACTGTTTAATGACCACAGACCAATTATGTTGATATCTACATTTACATCTAGAAATTTATTTTTGATAGTTAGATCTTGATTTTAGAACAAGATACGTTTTGTCAACAATTCTGCATACACATCTGGCATTTGAGTTCCCTGGGAGCTGAGTGGCGCTGCACACAACTGGTTTCTCAGCATCCAGCGCCACGGGCGTGGGGCCTCGCCTTGGATATCAGCGACGCGGACAGCACAGATGTAAGGTCGGCCCCGAGCGGTTGCAGGGCAATGACTTTAGGGACACAGGAGGACTTTCCAGGAATCAGGCCCACCTTCTGGACACAGGGGCCTGTGTCACCGATCTGCTTTATAAGATTCTTCTGGAATGGTCGAGCAGGTTTGGGAACCAGGTGTTTCTTCATTTTACTCCACCTTCCCTGTGGTCAGGGCCTTGCCATCTGGTGAGGGCAACCTCTGACCTTGCAAACCTCCTGGTCTGCTGCCCTCCCAGCTGTGTTTGTGAGACTGTCCAGCGGGCAGCTCCGTGGTGGCTATGGAGACGGCTGGAAACGCGCTGGTGAGGGCTCGTTCTCCTTAGAGGCAAAACATGGACATCGTATATGGACACAACGTGCTTAGCACCGCCGGGCTTTCTGGGGAGCAGAAAGCAGTGGGCATTCCCCAGGGACATTCGCTTTGACAGGGTGGCCCTGACTCCAGCAGGCTGACCTGGTGCCGGCCTGCAGTCTCCTGCCGTCTCACGCTGACCTCTGTATCGACAGCTTTGCCGTCCTCAGTGGGACCAGCACAGGGCGTCTCCGCCGTCTCCCCAGCCCTGAGCCATGATGGCAGCTTCCCGCTGAGGTCCTGGAGCCAGGGACCAGCCCCCTGCACGCTTCCCACCACTGGGCTCCTGACTGCGCCTGTCCTCCTTGTTTTCGGACTGATGTGTGACGAGCCCTGTGGAGTGGCACGTGAGGCAGCCCGACCTCTGGCCTGGAGGAGAAGGCACCAACTGTTAGGAGACCGGGGTTCACTGCTGCCGCTGTGGGTGGCTCTTCCACAGGTCCCCAGGTGGCTGCCGCATCCGACAGAGAGCATCTGTTTTGGGGATTCTTTGCGTTGATTGTATTTTGAGGCATACACAAAGCCTCCTGTCTCGTCATTCGGTCCCTCCTGGGCTTTTCCCGTGGCTTCTGTATTAGTGGACCGGGTTGGCAACGGCAGCCGTGTGGCAGGAGGGTTCAGGAAGCCAAGGGTGACAGTGGGCAGACTGGGCCTCTGTATTCAGGTTGGCTCCTGGTTGGGAAGAAACCAGAGAGCCAGAGTGGCAGGTTTTGAGGGGGCGATGACCGCTTGTGCTCAGCAGCCGACAGGCAGGGGGCACCCTCAGGCCAGGGTGCTCCCAGGAGGTCCCACCTGGGATGACACTCTGCTTCCCTGGGGCCATTCCAGAAGGCTCCCGTGGAGGGTCCTGAGGAGGCTGTGGCTGCCCCCGAGAACCGGGCCATCTTACACGCTTTCCCCAAAGATTCGGAGTCGTGATCCTGTGAAATGCTTCCCAGGGCCTGGTCCGCCCAGAGCCCCTTGCCAACCTCGGAGGATGACCGAGGCAGGAGATGCTGCGGTGGAACGTACCAGTGGCAAGCTGATTTTATCACCTGGGACTGCACAGGGGGCTGTGGCAGATGCCCCCAAAGCCCCATTGGGACTGCACGCAGGACGGAGGCAGCCTCTGCCATTCCCACCAAAGGGCTCCGTCTTCCAGGAGGCCTCACGGCCACCCCAAGCCCTGGACTTGGGGACTTGAACAGAAGAACACCAGAAGTGATGGGAGACAGTGAAAACTTGGGACCCCCGAGACTTCCTCTGTGGCTTGTTGCTGTGAAACAATCAGGCAGCAGTTCTGCCCCGTGGCTGAGGGTTCAAATCGAGAAGTGGGGGCGGGCAGTGCGGCTTCTTCCCAAGCCCCCGCAGCTGGGAACGCCGTGGAGAGGGCTTAATTTTCTGCCTAATCTTGCTGGTTTCAAGATTAGTAAATAGCATATTTGATCTGATATGTTTGAGAAGACAAAAATAAAGTTACTTTGGGCAGAATTTGGCATTTTCTCTTTATTTTACAAATTTCTTTTCAAAGTAGAGTATTTTTCATGAAAATGAAAAGCTTTCACATACAAAGAAGAAGAAATGAGTGAAGATGTGCATGCTGTACCTGTGCCAGGAAACCCAGCGGCGGCACCAGAGCCTCCGGGGCTCCCTGCCTCCCCACGCAGGGCGTGAAGCTGAAACCGCCCGCTGTGACTCGCTGCCCCTCCTAGGCCGACCGAGAGCTGGGGAACTTACCTGGGGAAGTGCGGGCTGGGCCCCACCCGTGGCTTTTGCTGGGGCAGCTCATCCCCCACCAGCACGGCTGAGCCACGCAGGACTGCACCCACCACTCGGGAGCCTCCCGAGACCCCTGCCCCCCTCAGGCCAGGGTGCTCCCAGGAGGTCCCACCTGTGCCCTCCTGCCACACCTGCCTTCGGGATCAGGTGAGGGGCTGTGGTGTCTGAGGACAAGGTCCAGCTGGACTGGGCTTAGGCCAGCTGTGCAGCTGGGGCTCAGGATGGTGCTGGGAAAGGGCAGAGGGGCAGCTGTGCTGGCCGTGGCAGAAGAATGCTCTCAGGAGGGGCTGTGGGTGCTGCAGATTGCCCCAGGGACCTTTGTCCCTTCTCTGCTGTCTCCCGGCACCCAGGACAGTGCTGCAGTGGACAGAGGAGGGAGGGCAGGGGTGTGGGCATCTGACCCCCTAGGGCCATACTCCCCAGGTTTCCACCAACTCCCAGCGGCTCTGGGGGAGCTGGGCGGCCAGCTGGGGGGCCAGGCACTGTCAGTGTCCCACACAGGTCTCTGGTTTTAGAAGCCAGGTCCTTCTGTGTCAACATCAGTGTCTCAGTCAACCAAGTCACAGGTCACCAGGGACCCTTCTGGCCAGCAGCCCAGGACATGGCAGCTGAGTGGGGCCAGGGTCTGCACCCCAAACCCCAGGCACTGCCTGGCCTTGGCCCTGCCCCACCCAGAGCTGGCCTTGGGTGCCCTCCTGACAGCTGTCCCCTGCTATCTGGCCTCCATCTTCTGAGACCTGGGCCTGCCTCCTGATGCCCAGCAGGACTGGCTACCCGCCCAGCCCTCCCTGAAGCCTTCCCTCACCCGGGTGGCCCTGCTGCCCAAACCCTGCGGCAGGAGGGGGCCCTGCAGCCGCTCCAACAGCCCCCAGGCCGCGCCCCACCAAGAGAGCCGCGGACCCCGGACCTTAGCACAAAGCATTTTAATTTATTTAAATAAAAATTATAATTTATACAAGACTTTTCTTTAAACAAGGTTTTCTTAAAAAATGTGACAGGGTGTTTTTCATCAGTTCTCCATACAGTACAATCCTTTTGTAGAACAAAAGTGACACCAGTAATGATTATTTACAGATCAAAATAGACTCGAGCTCCGGACATACAAAATCGAACATTCATCTAGCTCAGTGATTAGTCACAGAAATTAAACATCTGTCCAGATTCACGCGCTTCAGCGAAAACCCTGTTGGTCTCTGAGAGGGAGCCCAGACCCTAGCAGGCCCCTGGGCTCCAAGGAACACGGCTGCCTGCGAGCCGCTGGACTGTGGACCCCTGTTCCCCAACAGGCCTCAGGCCTCCCGGGGTGCAGCACGGTCAGTCTGCATCTCCCTTCCGGTGAAAGGGACTCGAACTAACCTACTCGCTCTGCCAAGAGGCCCCTCCTCTCGGGGACCCTCCCCGCTGTGTGTGGGGACAGCACCCCAGTGTGCCCACAAGGAGGACTTACTGACCCTGGTCCCCAGGACCCAGCCTGGGGCACTGCCAAGGCCCAGAGAGAGGTCTGACACCACCCAGGGGTGTCACCCCACAGCCATCCCTGGGGACACGTCACAGATACCCTGCCTCCCCTTGGGCACCCTGGGGTCCTGCGGCCCCCATCTCGCCCCATGCACTTGAGCGCACCATCCCTGCAGGGGCCGAAGCCCTGGCCCAGGGCGGGTTCTGCCTTCATCGACGGAGGCTGACGAGCAGGGCCATCCGGCAGCTGGCACCCATGGCGCCCGGGCGGGCAGCCTCCACCCTCTGGGTGGGATGTGTGCTTGACCTGGCTGGTCGGGGTGCTCGGCCCACGCACCAGAGTGTGACCCAGCAGACCCACCAGGTCTCACACCCGAGCCAGCAAATGAGGATCAGAGCTAAGGTAAAAATGTCACCTGAAAAACGATACAAAAATAAGAGACAGCTTGCTCTCTGTAAAAATATAATCTCTGTTTCTTCAAAAAACAACTATCTCAGTGACACCCGAAGGACTCAGACAAGCCGGGGAGGTGCAGGGCCACCTGGAAAGCGTGCGGACAGGGAGACAGTCACTCCTTTGGAGGCCCGGGCCTGTCCCAGGACCCCACGTGGCTTCTCACTTCAGACAAAACACAGATGTCCCAGGACAATCTGAGCCTGCGAGCCGCTCCCTCGGCCTCCCCCATGAGCCACCGTGTTCCTGGGTAGCACGCGTCTTTCATCCAAGCCAGCAAGTGCTGCCCTGGGGCGGGTGGGCACTGGGAGTGGTCTGGGCCCAGATGAGCGCTTGGTGGGCACACAGGAAGAGAAATACTGTCAGATGACTGGGGCAGGCCTCGGCCCACGGAGCCTCCCAGCAGCTCACGGGCAGGGCACTGAAGCTTGGCCTCCACGGCCAGGGAGCTCTGGCCGCCCGACTCCACCCCACTGACCCCATGGCTGTGGCTGACCTTTCCTGACCAGCCAAGACTCAGAGCTGGGCAGTGTGCTCCTGGGCTTCTCCAGGGAGCACAGTGTCGAAGGGTGTGCCTTCACTCGCGCCCTGCACCCTCGCGGGTCGCCAGCCCAGGGGCCAAGATGGGCAGGTGGATGCGGCAGCTGGTGAGGGAAGCCCCTGCCCCCCAAACCCCTACTCTGAGGACCTCCGCACCCAGCAGTGACACTTCCTAACCGCAGCAGGAGGGCCACAGACGTGCTCAGCTATGGCTTTAGGGGGCGGCCTCTGGCTTTCCGAGACTGGGACTCGGGGGCTGCAGGAGCCCCTGGGGTGGCCGGGGCCAGGTCTCTACTGAGGCTGGGATGGACAAGGAGCTGTGCCTGGTGGGGATGGCGAGGGTCCTGCATGTCATCCTCTAACAGGCCTTGAGGACCCTCTGCCCACCTGTGTCTACAGGTGTCCACCAGGGGCCCCACGTGCCTGGCAGGGGCTTCTGTGCCGTCCTCATGAGCTGCAGCCCCTCAGTGAAGGGGTCCGTGGAGCACGGTCAATGCCACGGCAACCACAGGCCGAGGAGCAGCGTGGCAAGTCCATCTGCCCCGCGTCGAGGGCGTGAAGGTCCTGCGGCGGCGGGGGTCAGTACTAGCTGTCACCACCAGAGGCTCCGGCCGAGGTGATCTTCACGTACTGGCTGAAGATGGTCTCGAAGGCCTCGTCCCTGTGCACCATGGCCCCGAACACCAGCGGCTGGCGGAGGAGGCACCGGTGAGCCAGGCGCCAGGGATGAGTGCTGCCAGGCTGGGGCCAGGCCACCAGCAGCCACAGGGTGGCAGACGGCCTCCAGCCTTCACAGAGGGAGAGGCAGGGCACCCCGCAGGCTCAGGCCCCTCCCTGAATGCCCCGTCGGCATCCTCTGGGCCACAGCAGCAGGTTCCTGCTGTCAAGATGGGGCCCTCTGCCATCACTGAAGCCACAGCTGGTCTGCAGCTCGGAGTGTCCCCTGGGTCCCCAGAGCCAAGCCCCTGCCACACCTCGACCCCACAGCAGCTGCCTGACACTTACTTTCTGAGTCGATGGTGTTGACACGGCAATGCCCATGCCGGAGCCCGGGAGGACGGACAGGACCTTGTACTGAAAGGACAGCAGGGTTCTCTTGGGCTGGGGCCGCAGCTGGCCCTCCGCAGGCCCAGGGACTCCACTAAGCACAGCCGTCCCAGCCACAGGAGGAGGGACCCAGGAGTGCCTCGCACCCTGCGACTGAGAAGCCAGACCTGCACGGCTCATCCTGGGGGAGGAGCCCAGCCCTGACTCCCAGGCCCTGAACCCAGAGGGGCCCCTGTCAGCACTGCCCACCCAGAGGCCAGCCGGGAGGGCCCTGGCCTGACTATGCCTCTGGTTACTCACCTGTACACCTGTTCTCTGGAGAGGGGGTGACCACAGCACCCACGCCTGGGTGGGCCTGACATGCCACGGAGGGAAGGGAGCCCACCCAGCAGACTGCTTGGGTCCCCCCACAGCGGGTCTGTCCCGTTGGGCCCAGGAAGTCTCCAGACAGCAAACACCCCAGTGCACACAGTAAAACCCCCCAGCTTTGTGGCCCTGGAGGGTTTTTGTCCCTGAAACTGACAGGAGACGGTAGAAATGCAGCGGGGTGGGGGCGGGGGCAGGGCGGGGGCACCCACCTTCTGGATGTCGGTGATGTCCACCAGCTTGATGACTTTGTTCCTCTTTGAAGACCCAGATCTGGAGCTTTCAAAGCACAGATAACTAGACGGGGAGAGCGAGAGGCACAGTCCACACCAGAGCCAGGGGGGCTCTGCCCAGCGGGCGCTCCCCGGGCTGCCGCTTCACAGCCCAGCAGTGCCCCCGCTGCGGCAAACAGCACCTACAGAAAAACCAGAGGCCTGGGCTCCGCGCCAAACCGCGGCTTCCCTGCCCATGGGATTCCCCGCCAGGTGCGCTGGAGTCCAGGGGCCTGTTGAGGGCTCTGGGACCAGATCCTTCAGCAGGGGCTAGGGGGAGCTCGGAGCCTTGGCCGCTGCTGCAGGCTGGGGACAAGGTGACATTGAGGCCCTGTACTCCCGCCTCCCACACCTGGGGCTGAGACAGTCTTGCCTGGCAGAGGAGAGATGAGGCCATCTCCTCATCTGCAGCAAGCCTTGGGGCCCTGGCTCAGCGGGGCAGTGCACAGTCCCTTCCTGGGAGATTGTCCTGTGCCCCCTGAAGAGCCTCACCCTGGCAAGAGTGTCCCGGTGGCTGGGCATGCAGGTGGTGCCTGCCCCCGGGCGCCTGGCAGGGCAGTGCAGTCAGGTGGCCCGTGGCCTTGGAGGAGACACTTGCTGGGCCAGCCCTGGGACCTGATCACACTCCGAGGTCCCGCCAAGGCCCTGCAGAGGGACCTCACTAGGTCTAGGAAAAGGTGCAGCTGTGGCCCCACTCACTTTTCGGTCACATACAGAACCCCGTTCCGGATGTAGTCCGTGGGCATCTTCCGGTCTCGGTTTATCAGGCAGCAACGCCAGCCGTTCTCGCACACTAACGGGGAGAAGAGCACCTGAGACTGCCTCCGCTGCCGCCCTCAGCAGCCATCACCCGGGGTACACGTGGCCACTGGAGGTTCAGCATGAGCTGGGGTGCAGCTCCCCGCCCAGCGTGAGCAGCCTGGGTTCCCCCAGCACCAGAGAAAGTCCACAGTGGGAGGAGGGTGCAGGGCCAGGAGGCAGCGGTGTTGCAGGTCTGGGAGTCGCCCACTCCTCCCAGTGTGCGGAGCAGGCACCCAGGCTGACAGCACCGTGAGACAAGTGCACTAGCCCACGCTGCTGCAGACCAGCACTGACCCGCAGACCCACAGAGGACAGCATCAGAGAGACGGCCACACTCAAAGCTCTGTGACTGGGCTGTGTGGCTCAGGAGCTTTGCGGCTTGGCCCTGACGAACCCTGTGCTGACATGGGCTCTAGCGGCCAGTGGGCAGAGCAAAGCCCCCTTCCTGGGACCTCCCCCTTGTGGGGAGCGGGCGCCCTGGGAGTTCCCCTGCCAAGCAGACCTGCCCTTCAGGGCACGCCATCCCCGGCCGCCTGGGACAGCCCGCTAGAGCTGGGCTCTGCACTACCTCCTCCTGTCCCAGGGAGGCCACCCCTCTGCTTTGGTTGGGCCTCTGTGCCGGCCTCCATCAGCACCTGCGCACATACCGGCCAGTGGACGCTCGTTTTCAGTCAGGTTGAAGATCTCGTGGAAGTTCCCCTTCTTGGTGCTGTGGCAGCGACCGGCGTCCTCATCTCTGCCCAGGCCAGCTGGCGCACTGGAGACGCAGCTCCGCGATGAGGCCGTTTGTAGCTGCCAACAGCACACAGGGGCCTGCTCAGGCTCTGGGCAGAGGCAGCGGGCCCTGCTGGTGACTGAGGGGACACAGGGCTTTCCTTGCTCGCACCCAGCTGCAAACTGACCAGCTAAGAGGCTCTATGTGCTCCTGAAAGCTCAAGTCCAAATGTGGGCGCCACAGCCCCCACAGGCCCGGGGCTGCAGATTCCACTCCTCAGTGGTGGGAGAACTCCTTCCCCGGTGACACCCACAACCTTCCCTAGCCCCGAGGGCTGGGGCAAAGCCTGGACACAAAGTCCAAGGACACAGGTGCCTGGCACATGATCCGCGTGGAGGCAGTTAAACCCCACATTTCAGAGATCAAGTCTGGCCACCAACAGCAACTTAAGAAAACTAGACACCGCAATGGCACAGCACTGGATCACAGAGGCCAGGGGACTTCCACTCGGACACCTCACCTCACCGTGCCCTGACAGCTGGCCACAAAGGAGACATAAGCACGTGGAGCAGAGCTGAGCATGAAGGGCCACAGGACACGGGAGCTGGCCTCCATCCTGGGATGCCTCCACCCAGGTTCACTGATCTCTCCTGAGTGGCCAGTCTTGAGCCCAAGGAAGGCCCCGGTCCCAGCCCCCAACAGCAAAGATGACCCCTCATCCTGTCCCAGGGGCCAGGATCCTGCATCTATGCTCCTCGAGCAACCTTCACCTACAGGACAGCCATCAGCCTGGGGGGGTGGGGCAGGCTGGGCCCCCTGGGGCCGAGCTCGGGTCCTGCTGAGCTGCGGGTCCCACCAAGCTGGGTTGTTGTGGAACCTGGGAGCACAACCCAAGCCCACCCAAAGCCCCCCTCCCCCAGATAGGGCCAACAGTGGGTCACTGGAATCGCCTCCCCTCGAGACTGCTGCAGGTGGCCTCCTCAGCAAACCCTCTTGGACCTTGCTGGGAGTCCTGCTGGGCCTGGACCCTCCCCACTCATCTGAGACCCCAAGGACAGCACCAAGGCTCACTCATCCTCCTGTCCCAGCTCAGGACCCCGTGCCCAGCACCCATGAGGCCTGAACTAGGGGCTCTGCCCAGGTGCTACTTGACCTTGAGTCTCACAGTCAGGGACAGTGGTCACTCCCCAAGTCCCTGGCCCCTGGCTGTAGCAGGCATGGCCAGTCCTGGCTCCTAGAACATCTGGGAGGGAAGGTCCCCAAGGGCCTGCAGGTTGCTGGCCTCACAGAAGAGACGACAGGGACAGACGGGCCACAGAAGAGGGCACAGAGGAAACCTCTGAGCCCTCGGATGCCGTCTGTGGGCTCAGATCTGGCGAAGATCAGCTGCCCAGCGAACCGAGGCTGTCTGGAGTGGGGGGACTCACCCTCCGTGACATGGTGGCGCTGGCCCTCTCCTTGAGCTGGGGGTCCGTGGGGAGGCTCCGCCAGACGATGTAGGGCGTGTCGTACTTTGCTCGCAGCCTGGGGCAGCGCTTGAAGATGAAATCGATGAGGAAGAACTTGACACCGGCATAGAGCCCTGAGGGAGAGGAGGTCTGCGATGCCAGGGCCTGCAGCCCAGCCTGCCTAATGGGGGACGGCTCAGCACCTGCCTGCTGGAGTCACCAGGTGCTCCGGGGGCGCTGTGCGGCCAGGTAGGGCACCTGCTCCAAACCCACAGCAGGAGGGGACTGGCGGCCATGGGCTGTGAGGCCCTGGACCGCACGGCCATCACACTCAGTGCCTCTTGCTGCAGCCACCACCTGTCCATTGTGGACAGGGCCTGGTGCCAGGAGGGCCCTGATACCTCCAGTGGACCAGGGCTCAGGGTGTGCCTGGGGGAGGTGAGCTGAGTCTCAGAACCATGACCTCAGGCTGCTGGTGGCCTTCCCGCCTTCCCCATCTGAGCAAGGCCATCCTCTTCCTTCCTGCTCTGTGGCGGTCCAGGGCTGGGGTTCAACACATCTCCCACCTGGGAACGCAGGGACACTCCCCGCAGACTCCCCCAAGGCCCTGCCGTCACCCACTGGAGCTGGGCTCGGGGGCTCTGCATGTCCCACACCCGGCACCCTCTGCACACATTCCCTGCAGCTTCCCAGTGGCCTCAGTGTGGCTTCCCACGCTGGCCCTCTTCCCTGCAGGCCACCACCAGTGTCCCTCCTGTCCATTCCTACCACTCCCAGACCCAACCTGCTCCCTGAGCCCATCTCAGCTCAGCTCAGGCCAGCTCCCAGAACTGAGAGTCCACCCCAGCTCAGTCTCAGCCCTCCCTGGCCCCAGCCTCACTGTCCTGGAGACTCGTCCCCTCTGTGATCAAAACCCCAGGTGGGGCTGTCCCGCATACTCTGACCTATGGCGAGATGGCCATACTCTGCACACCTTCCGACCCCAGGATCAAAGGGCTACTTTGCCCCCTTCCCCAGCATGTTCTGTGGCACTGGATGTGGTCACTGTCATCCCCCAACAGGAAAGAGAGTCCTCTGCTCCCAGACTTCCTCCCCAGCCTCACCCATCTGCTTGCTAACCCCTGGCTCTGCCTTCCCCATGGGTACTAGTCAGGACCCACGGTCCACTGCCCACTGCCAGTACTAGGGCTACTCCTGCCCAGGCCAGCCCTCTCCCATGACAGGCCATACCCTCCGACGATAGACCAGACTCTATCACAGCCACACCCTCAAACAGGCCACATTCTTCCACCATGGGTCATGCTCCCACCATAGCACACACCCTCCACTACAGGCCACACCTCCCACCATAGGCCATACTCCACTCAGGCCACACCCTCCACCACAAGCCAAACCCTCCATCACAGGCCACACCCTCCCACCATAAGCCACACCCCTCAGCATAGGCCACACCCTCCACCACAGGCCACACTTTCCAAACCAGGCCACACCCTCCACCACAAGCCATACCCTCTATCACAGGCCACACCCTCCCACCATAGGCCACACCCCTCAGCATAGGCCACACCCTCCACCACAGGCCACACCTTCTACCACAAGGCACACCCTCCACCACAGGCCACATCCTCCCACCATAGGCCCTAACCCCCCCACCACAGGCCACATTCCTCCCACCACAGGCCATACCCACTCTTGCCTAGGCTGTAGTCGGGGGAGCTAGCAAATAAGTTAATAAAGTGTCCAAACCATCATAGGTCATGACCAATACTATGAAAGAAATAAGCAAAGTGACAACGTAAGAGCCACCGGAGGCAGACTATGTCCTACAGAGCTCCCAGTGAGCTACCCGACTGTTCCTGGTAGGAGAACCAGACCTGTACCTCCATGACAGGCTGCCCTCCCGGTGACCATCCACATGGCAAAGGTCAGCTGTGTGTGAGCGCAGTACGGTCACCTGGCTACTTTTCTAAGTGGCTGCCTGGCTTGACAGCACATGGGTGACAACACACAACCTCCCCCCACCCAACTCCCTGCTCTCACGACTCGTGCAGCCACCCAGTGCTGGCTGAGACCCCACCTGCCCAGGCCCGTGGGCTTTCTCCTGAGTGCCGGGGCCTGGTTACTGATAAAGAGGGAGAGAAAGAAAGGAGGGTGGGCGTGGACAGAGGTCATTGCCACAGTGACACCCGCCTCCCCATGCCACGGGTCACCTCAGAACACCAGCGTTCCAGGAAGATGTGGCCCTGGCTTCACCCATGACACTGACCCCATCAGCCACTGCTGGCTCACTGCCCCTCAAACGGGCTCCGGGCCTCCCCATCTGGTGCCAGGCTGCCAGCACAGCAGCCCTGCCACACAGCAGGAAGCTGGGCCTCTGATGAGCACAGGACAAGCCTGACCAAGAGCCATCGTCCTGCCTCGCTCGGGACTTCAGGCGCCTCGCTTCTCCCACGTAAAGCAGCTTTGAGAAGATGCAGAGGAAGGCCAGGACCTAAGGCCAGCCTGGCTCCTGCGACCCCCGTTACGTGACGTGCTCAGCAGGCCCGCGGCACTCCTCCTTACCCACGGCCAGCCCCACCAGGCGGTAGGGGAAGAAGCAGGAGGCCAGGAAGGCAGCCCACAGCGCAATGTACAGCTTCTGTGTGATCTCGGGCTGGACCCACATGAACAGGCTGGAAGGGAGACAGAGGTCAGGCAGGGCACGCAGGGGTCACTGTCACTGTCACCGAGGGGTGGCAACTTACTTCTTGATCTTTTCCAGGATGTCAGCCATCTTGCCAAAGAGATTCTGTGTGAAGAAGAAACAGAGATAACTACAGACCCCTGTGCCCACCGGTCACACCGAGATGCTGGGTGGGCCCCAAGACACAGGGTTCCTGGTCCTGCCCAGCCATGCCCAAGTCTGGGGGATCTGGTCTAAGCAAAGGTGAGTGTGCCCGTGGTGGACATCAGGCCAGCTGAGTCCTGCCTCCTGGGAGCACATGCCCAGCCACCAGGAGGGCTCCCGCCACATGAGGTCAGGTCCCTGCGGAGATCGGGAAGAGCCACAGGAGACCAGGCAGGTCAGCTGCAGGTCGGTCAGCAGGCAGCAGACAAGACAGGCCTGGGTTGGGGTGCTGCCCGCAACACCAGCCCCGCCTGGCGACTCACCTGGGCCTTCTGGGCGACGTCCAGCACCAGCTGGAACTTCTCGGACACGGTCAGGTCTTCCTTTGGAGGTTCCTGCAGGCACAGGGAAAGGGAATCTAACCGCTGAGGTTCAACAGTTCAGAAACACTCTCACAAGACCACATGAGGCTCCCAGACCCAGCGCCTGCAGGTCACTCTGCTGTGCCCCCATAGCCAGAGGGGATGGGATGGGACATAGCTGGGGACCCCAGCAAGAGGAGGACACCCTGCTGGCTGGTGGTGGCAGCTTCCTTCACACGGTGCAGAGGCCCAGAGTGCAGGGCTGAGAAGTCTCCCTTTCCCGGCTCACCTTAATAGTGCCCGCCCGCCCCTGCGCGCTTTGACAGGCAGGACGCTGAGGCCCAGGCAAATGGGGGCCTGACCTCATCCCTGTTGATCTAAGCAAATGTGAGTGACATCAGGCCTGTGGGCTCCTGGGGCCAGGCAGGTACAGGCACGTCGCCTCAAAGACACCTTGTGCTCCATGTGCACAGAGGCTCAAATACTGCACAGGCCCCTGGAGATGCCCAGGGGTCGCCCAGGGCCCAAGCCTCCCTCTCCAGCAAACTTCTAAGAATGGCTCTGCTCTCAGACCACGCGGGCCTCACAGCTGCTGCACAGCTGGGTAACAACAGCCAGGTGTGAGGTGGGTGGGCGTGGCAGTGGACCGGATGTGAGTTCCACAGCCCTGGGTGGGGACAGGTCTACTTACCTCACTTCCTGTCCACCTCCCCACCCACCACATCCCAGTCAGGAAGAGTCTGGGGGGACAGGCTGGGACAGGGTGACCTGCTCTTCTGCAGCTAACTTTGACCCAGCTGGGGTCAGAATGGGTGGCTTCCCAGGGCTCAGGCTGGGTGCTGGCCGCCTCCACCCTGCCCCTCCTGCCAGGGCAGGACTCATCTGTGGCCTCCCCACACGGCGCCTGCAGGTTCCGAGGCTGCCCCAGTGGGAGGGACGGGGGACACTTTGCCCACCAGCACTCACCACGGCTTCAGACACTTCTGGCACAATGCTCCACTGTATTCTCCAGCCCCTGGCAAACAGAAGCCATCACAATCTAAAATAGTGTCACCTGCAAGTGGCGGGTCAGGGGACAACCTCAAACTGTCAGCCCCCAGCTCCCAGCTGGGGGAAGGGTCCTCAGCCCTCAATGCTGGCCACCGTGACTGGCTGCCTGAGGGCGGATTTAACAGCAACCAGACTGCTTGGGGGAGCCCCACCACTTCGCCCGCCCACCCTGGGGTTGGGGACAAACTCCTGCAGGAGGGCGTGGGCCCGTGGCGGCCGTGCAGGGAGAAAGCTCGGGAGGGGGAGGCCGTCCTGCCCGGGGCCTGCAGCCTATCAGAGGACTACGCCCCAATGGCAGTGCCTCAGGTCACAGCTGTGAGGGAGGCACATGGCCCATGCGATGGGGACACACCACAACCCCCCCAGCACCTACCTGGCAATGAGGTAATTGAGGGACAGCCTCAAGATTGCTAGGAACAGGAACATGGGGATGGCCCAGCCATGCCACACGGCATTCATGTACACCTGCAGGTGGCGGAAGGCGGGAGGGAGGGGTGGGTCAGGAGGCCTTGCAGAGGGTCAGGACCAGCTGCTTCCCTCTCTTCCTCTGACCAACCAGGTAGGCTCTAGCAGCTTCCACACTCCTCGGGTCGAGGGCCCGCAGGACGGGCATCCTGGGAGCCCGCGCAGGCAGGGGTGGGACAGGGTGGGACAGGGCTGCTCGGTGTGCTTCTGGTTGGCTTCCATGAACAGGAGGAGAGCATGCGGGCCCAGGCAGGTCCCGAGCAGCCAGGTGGGGCTGCAAGGTGGGCCTGAACCGGGGCACAGCTCGTAGTGACAGGATGCAGGTGGGACCAGGACACCTGGGCCCCAGGAGGGGGCCCTGCTGAGCGAGCTTTTGTGAAGGTGGCAGGGGAAGGGTCCTCCCCATGAGATTCATCTTGAGAGTGCCAAGTGCTAGTCCCCCAGGGGGACAGTGAGTCCTCCCAGGGACCTGCTCAGAGATCCCACCTACCCAGAGTCACGGTGGATCCCAGACCCTTCCTGGCATAGGCCATCCTGGTGACCGACCCCTTGACAGGACAGTGCTACCTCCGAGTACTCTGGAAGGTGCCCTGAGCCACGGTCCCTCCTCAGGCCTTGAGGCAGGTGAGGGGCAGCCAGCACACTGACCCCCTCTC